CCATGTTTTCATATTAAAAACATGGCCGCTCCACATATGAAATAATTTTGTAGCCAAGTCGTCTCGAGTTTGCATATTTGATAAGCGTGTACGTAATTATAATGCGGGAGAAACTGGCAGTTTTGGTATGAAATTTCGTATTTTAAATATAACATTTGATTTGGGAACATTTCTAATTGTCTTTCTTTCAAATTTCTCTTTGAAGACATTACAAAATTTATAATAATGGTCAAAAATTGCAATAATGGCAATAATGGCGAACAAGACCATTCCCTTATAAAGCATGCGGGCGGGGATGAGAAACTAATATACAACAAATGGTGGCCTAATGCAGCGCACGCTTAGTAATTGTTCGTGTTTCACAATTTTTAAACACCAAGTAAACTTTTCCGTTTCATGGTTGTAACAAAATATCTTACAGTACTATCTGGTAAATATCCAGCAAATTTATACCGGATAGTGCCGGATGTCTAAATTTTACCAGATATCGGATACCGGCACATCCCTAGTTCCGATTATCTATTTTTGGCTTTTAAAATAGCATGAATTTTTTTGCAAATGCAGTCACTCTTAATAGTTAAAATGTACAATCCTAGCTGTGATAGTGCTGGATAATGTGCAACAAAGCACATAGTAATTTAAGTTTCTCCCATTTTGCAATTATAACATCATAGGGCTGTGGCTCAGCGCAACCTCTCAGCGGCCCTGTGCATGTCTCTCATCAACCTCATCAAACATACTTTCAATTAAATTAATTAGTGTTGCCACAATTTGGAAAGGCAGCTGCCACAAAGCTAGCTCATTATAAAATTTCGGGTTAATTAATTCAATTATAAAATGCTTGGTCATTTAATTTATAATAAATATAAAAGACATTAACTTTGGTCAATTTCATACAAATGCTTAGCTAATCCCACAGAATTAAAAAAATTCAAAACAAACAAATGACAAACCAACACTCTTTACTGTGGATTAAATATGAAGTGATGGTTAAACTTTACCTGGTTTTGTGTGGCGAAAGTGACAGTATGGTCTGTGACAAAGGCCATGTTGAAAGAACGGGCAGTTTGCACTACGAAAATAACCGCCAGAAGGGAACATAATCTTAAACAAAACTTAAAATATTATTTATAATAGCCACATGGCATGGCGTTGTAGTTCTTGACTAAATTAGCGACATTATTTACGTGAAAACAAAAGTGAACTGTCCGATATTCTGATTTCTGACAAAAATTTGTGAACTTTGCTGTCTTGACAAGTTTTCGGAATACACTCGGAATGTGTCGTATATTTCAAGTGTCTGTCACTGACCTTTAAATTAACTGGATTAATTAAAGATCTTGCCGTCATTGGATTTGTAATGTTGAAATTTCTGTGAAATCGTTCCTTATAAGAGTGTTGAAAAGGTACAGCTTTCAAATGCTATTGGCCTCTCTAGATGAGTAATAACCCAAACAATATTACATGTAAATTGTTTCCAAACGAATCTTTTCATACCCTAACCACAGGTAGCCCAGGCTCTGTGTGGGTATTTATTTATTTTTAAATTTTATTATATTTTGGTAATTTTGCATTAAAAATGTACTTTAAATTATAAAGTATAACTTACTTAGTTTTCTTTATGTATTCTGTGTGATTTGGGGGTGGTTTTAGTTTGATATAATGATATAGAAACATTATGAGAATGCGATTTAATATCATGGGCGTACCGGAAGGAAAAAATTAGGGGGGCGGAAAAAAATTTGCCCGACTTTTCCAGATTGTGCCCGACCAGTGCCGAAAAATCTTTTTCCGGAACAAATTAATTTTGGCGCCCTCCCCCCCCTTCGCTAAAAAAATTTCGGTCAGTGTACCATTTTAGGGGTCCAAAAAATTTTCGGACATACCAACATTTTTCGGAACAACATACAAATTTTCCAGACATCACAAAATTGACCACAAAATTGACAGAATTTCCCACAAAATTGACAGAATTTGTCCCATTTATTTTTATAATAAGCCAATATTGCCCGACTGTGGAGCGAATATTGCCCGACTGGCTTTG